ACATGACACCCTGTGCATAAACCCTATGAGACTGGTCTGAACAATCCTGGGGTTTTTTTTTTTCAGTATAAATGCTTCAATATTTTCCCTGCTAAGTTTGACTTTTTAGGACATGTTATCACTTTCTGATGGCTGATAGGTCACTGCAGGGAAAAAATAGTGATGTCCATGTGTGGAATTGTTTCCTTTCGTTTGCATGTGTTTCGACTAACATGGCAAAACGGCAGGATTTCCCTGAACGAATTTCTTTCTTTACAATAAACATAATTGTTTTTCCCCATCATACCACCACTAAATCATGCATAACTAATGACATTTCAAGTTTATATAATATGCACACTTTTAATTGATTTAAAAAATGAATGAGGCAATTGTAATTTTTTTTCTTCAAATTATTTACAGTCACATGGGAAAGGCGAATTCATGATGATGAGATATAGTATCCAGACGCCACTCGTGTGGTTGTGTAGAAAGAATAGGACGTTGAAAGTGTTTTGTAACATTGAAACATTAAAATATTTCCCAGTCCAAAAAAATCCATGCCAAATTTCCCCAACATTGTTTGCACTGTGGTTGTATCCTACAGAAACAGTACAGTGATGGTGTCAGGATGGGAAAAAAAATTTGCAACCTGACACTACTTTTGAAACAGCAAAAAGACCATTGTTTTTGCTTATCTTGTACCTGAGAGAGTATAGGCCTACTTTCATGTAAGAACTGTAAAGAATATGTTGATAAAGTCTTTAAGAGAGATTTGTAGGTGAATGCGTGGCCAACTCAGTGAATTTGTACATGTCACGCATCGGTTGAGGGCTCCAACATGCAGTGACATGTCTTTTTTTTCTGTTTTGAAAGTAGCGTCAGGATGCAGCATTCTTTCCGTCAGGATTATTGCAATGTAAGCCTTGATATTCTCTTTATTCTGCAATGGTGTATGTATATAGGAAACAATATGGAAGTGTCATGTACTTACCGTTGTTGCGTAGGTGCTTGCTAGATTTCGCCTTCATCATGTTTTGTTGGTTGCTGTTATTTTTCCAGCCAAACTCAACTACCGATGAATCCAAGCGAAGCCCCCAGATAAAAATCAGTGGGCAGTTTCGTACCGTTTCGCCCACGGTGGAAAACAAACTTTCTCTCCCTAAACACGGAAAGCCTGCAAAACTCAGCGTACTGCCAGGTCACAACTCTCCGCCGGTGAAGTGCCGTGTCAATCCGGGCCTACTCAGGTGTGTCAAGTGAAGACCTCAAGCCTGTGTAGTTTTTTTTCCCCTACCGTGTCAGACTCTCTCTCTCCACCCAATCTGAACAGACGAAGAATAAAAAAGAATGAAATCAGTAGAGCGTATCGTTTGAACCCAGACTGAGCGGAACAGATTAGTTTTTAGCCAGTAGGCATGCAAAGCGAACGCCTATAAAACCCAGTTGCGGTATTTTCACGTTTTCAACCGTGGTACCAAAATGTCCAAGTCCGTGTGACCAAGAGAATTAGAAGAACTCTTTTCCAACACATACACAGTTCTGGAAAAACCACCCTTCGTTGAGTTTTTGTCCACCTAAATTCTTGCTATAGACTGACAGGCAACGAAGTTGTCTAGATCAAGCACACGAAAATCTCTTTCGGAGACGTGGTTTAAGGTCTTCATCAGAAACTTACCAAAAGATGCGAGTTGAGAGATTATGCTGGCAACGCCCAAAACTGCGTATCGGTCATCAACCAGCGTGCTCCGGTGTACCGCAACAGGTATACACGACCGACAAACAACCCTGTCCGTTTCACCCACGAAGAGACCATATACCTTCACTGAATACCTTCACTATTATAAGCACACATGGGTCCCCTTATTGAATATGCAAGCAGATCGGCAGCGAACAATAGGCTAGAGCGAACCCCGAAACGAAAGGGGATAAAAGCCACGGCACAGAACTCTGTGGTATTGCCAACCACCCTATTAAATCAACAAGGCTTTTTACTTTCTATAGCCCGAGTTCTCAGCATAGAAACCCAACGTGCACAACAATCGTCAATAACGCATATTACGCCTGCGTAGTGCTGGGGCAAAGCAGTGAAAGCCCCGTTCTGTCTCCCATACCTTAAAGCCCAGTGTTAGGGGAACAAAAGACATACCTACGTGGGGTCCCAATGGGTGTTTTTTCTTCTTCTAGTCCGCATGCACGTACAGCACACCTTGATGGTATGGGAATGCATGTTGTTCACAAATCCGTCTGCCATCTTGGGCGGAGAATGAAGTCGGGTAGTTTTCGGCGCGCTGCGTCTGCAGCTTGTACCGGCTGCCAGCCGCACTCCCGAAGCGATGTTGACTCAGTGAGACTCCCCAACTCTTCGGGGGGAAAACCCAGCCACTCCACCGGCCCAGTGAGCAAGCACACTGATGCGGCATCCCTCGCTTACTCGACTCTAGGTTTCCCGATTGACTGGGACTGCTCAAGCGTCCCCATGTTTGGGCTTTCCCCAAAGCCACACGCTCCTCAACATAAACACTTGCGAACCACCCTCCACACTGGCTACAGTTTCAAAACAAAGTTCACCAACACTGGTCACAAAATGTAATCAAACTTTCCACTCACAATCGGTTTAAGACGGAACAACTTAATTCATTCACATTTAACGGAGTCCGGAGGCATTAACCATGAGAAGTAAATTTGTCATAAACAAATAAGAGTGAAAAGTGGAACTGAAGTGTGAGAAATGTGTCACTCGTCACAAGCGGTTAAAAAAAGAAAAAAAACTTAACAATTTCACTAAAATTGCTAACCAACAGATGTAATTTTTAATTCAAGACAAGTCAATTTCAAGAAATTTGTCAAATTTGCTAACAGATGTGAGATTTGTCCGGGTGTTCATGATTTCGTCAGGATTTTAAGAGAAACTCTTTAGATATCTACAGAGTTCGTTAGGTTTTACCGTACGGGTGTTACAGAACCATGAGAAAGTATTCGTATTCCTTCTCCTCTGTAGTACAAACGAAATTGTACTTTTAGGGATTCGTTTTTTTGTCAAATACATGTACGAACATAGACCCTATTGATCTTGGCATAGGTGACCTTTACACCCCCTTTTTTCATGGAGTTTTCATTTCCCCCCATTCTCATCTATATGTAGTTATGTGTGAGACAGTTTACAGCCAATCTTCTGTTGTCGTTTTCAAAACAAAAAAATAGGAAAATAAAGTATAGAGAAAAGGTTGTTGACTTACAAATCAATGTTTATTATGTAGGCCTATATGATTCGAGCTCATAAAATATTTACCGTCGGTACTTGTAAATGTACTAGGTCCAGGCCTACATGTTCTTCTTAAAACGCGATTTCAACTTCGCTTCGATTCCAGCCATACACCATTGGCCTGCATGTGGATCCACAGGCGCTTATTAGATCCCCTTAAAAACCACAAGCGGCTTAAGCAGTTTAATCCACAAATCCTACAATGCCAAACTGTTCATTGTGCCCCTGCTCATGCAAAAAACAACAACACCAGAGCCGGATAATGTATTAAAATGAGCGTACAGGGACGATTTTTCCTGCAAGCATTTAAGGCGCTTGTTTTTTGTGACAATAATACCGGCTGAGTTTCGGAGCAGTCGGACAAAAAATAACCCATTAATTTCTAGTATCTGCAAGGTTACGCTATTGTCAGTTCCGATTTCAAAACGATGAATGCATATTTTATGAGGTATGACTATTATGGGTTTTTTTCTCTGAAAACCATATCCACTTCCTCTTTCAATAGATTACCGACTGTTTTGGGGTTATTCGCGGGGCTTTGTGTTGTATAATATCTGTCCTATCCAGCAAAGGAAGATTGATGCAGTATTTAAAAAAATAAAATCAGTTTTGTTACCATTCTTGCATCGATATAATATGTTAATCAAAATGTGACTGGAATGGGAATTGAACTTGTGCTCTCTGCATGTCGAAGGTTAATAGATTATCTGTGATATAGTAGCACGCGTCAAAAAAATATAAAAAACATGTCCTACTTCTGATCCTAAATAATTCTGTTGTTAACCAATGGAAATTAAACCAACATTTCAGATCATGTAAACAAGGCATGACACATTAATGGAGCGAGTTTCATCAGATCTGTGCACGAGAGTGAGATTTAAACGCCATTCGAAAAAAAATACTTAATTTTCAGAATGTCGATACCTCGCTGGAGGCGCTGGCGGAAGGCGCTTGCTGAAGCCGGAAGTTTCGGAAGGAATGCAGGATCACCCCGATGTCATTGCACATCGAGGAGATGTGCAATGACATCAGGGGTGATCCTGCATTCCTTCAGAATCTTACGACTGCAGCACGCGCCTTCCGCCACCATCTCCAGCGCTGTATCGACATTGGGGGACGCCAAGTCGAAAGTGGCAGATTCTGAAAGTGAGTATTTTTTTTCGTATGGCTTTTAAATCTCACCCTCTTGCACAAAGCTGATGAAACTCGCTCCATATACAATTTGTCATGCCTTGTTTACATGATCTGAAATTTTGGTTTAATTCCATGTGCACACAACAGAATTAGTTAGGATCAAAAATAGGCATTTTTTTGACACGTAGTTTTAAAAACATCTATTCTATTTTTTTACTCTTTTTTTTTAAGTGAAATTAGTTCATAGAAAATTTGCTAAAAGCGTTTCATTTAACTGAGAAATGCAATGAAACAACTGAAACCAGTAAGTTAACGAAAATATGTTAATAACAAAAAATGTCCTTGCGTCCTGTAGCTGATTGTGGAAAATGTTATATTCTTTTCATGAGTTTCATTTTTCAGATAGTCTGCCTGAGCCTGCCCCACCAAGGGGGTTCCAAAGGGGAAGGGAGGATGGTTGGGGGTGGCTAACCATGCACCCGCTTCTAACTGACAAATGTTTGTTATTTACATAATGGTGAAAAAAACTTAAATTTCCAAAGTTTCCTAAATAAAATCATGACTTGATTTTGCACATCTGGATCCAGTGTTGCTTCAATGCCTTCCATTGTTCTTTTTTTAGGCGTCGACTCAGTGCAATGCTGCACACCCCTCCCCCTTGAGAAGACTTCAACTCAACCACCCCACTCCCTTTGGAAAATCCTGGGCTCTGCCAACCGTCTCTGCCAAGCCCTGCCCGGTAAGAGTCCTTTAACACTGTCTATACCCGGTTTGCCTTAGTTGTATTTGGCTCTTGTGTATAGGGATTAGACGTTAATCCCCTATAAGAATCTGATTCAGGGATGGGGGATTTTAAGAGATGGAATCTGTCCTCCGAAAAAAAGGGGGAGAACAAAACAAGAAGACAGACGATGTGAGTATTCCAAGGCGAAGACTTGTCTGTAGAAATTCTCCTGTCTTGAATATAAGAAGTCAGAGGTTAATTCTTAACCCTTTTATAAAGTTTGGAAACATGACAATCACGATGACGTTTATTTCGCAAATTAGACTAAAGACCTAGTGACGTCGTGGTTAGTTTGACCAGTTCGCCCCAAGGTTTTTCAAAATGGCCCTCGCGATACACAAACGTTCTACCACTGACAGCGTGCGCTGTATCAAGACTTGACGTGATTTCTTTTTTCTTTTTGGCACAAAGCGTTATTGTGGTGTTCTAAACAGGACAAGTTTCATCCGTGATCGTAAATTCCAAACGTCGCAAAAAGTGAACTGCGGCGTTGAAAAAAAGCGGAACCATGTCGTCGAAACACTGTGTACCGTGGCGGACAGCGTAATTTTTATTCCTAGGAGGGTTAGGGGCAATGTCATGAATAATTCATGTTTATCCATGAGAACGGACAATGACATCAACAGCATTGTTGTTAGTTACTCAACTAGTTACAATACATTAAAGCATTTTAAAGAACGGTTGTCGTCGAGCTACGACACAGTAGCCTAGTGGATAGCGAGATGAGCTATGGATACAAAGATCCCTGGTTCGAATCCACGTCGTCGCTGCTCATTTTCATCAGCTATTTTTCTTCTCTAAATTTATCTCTGAGATAATTTTAAATTAAGGGGAAAATAGAACGAGAACATAAGTCTTGCAATGATTCAAAGGAAAAACTGAATTAGTCATGACATTGCCCCTAACCCTCCTTGGAAAAAAATTACGCTGGCGGACACATGCTGAACAAGGCGAACCATGATGTTACAAAAGTGATTAACAACGTTTGAGAACAGATTTATAAGACGGTAAGTTGTCTGGTCTTCCAAATATGGCTTCAAATAGCTTCCCTATGCGGTTCTCTGTATGCTTTCCAGTCAGTATAAGTGAAGATCAGTGTTATGGATAGGTAGGGCCTACCGGACAAAATTAATGAAAGTCTGACAGTAAATCGCATGATTTTTTTTGTAGTGGCTGCATGCCGAACGGCGGTCATGCACGGTTGAGAGCCCTTTCGATTAATAGACGGTAATTTTGTGGAATTCACAAAGGAATTTCCTCATTGCCAAAAAACTGAAAATCCCCTTCAAACAAAAATGTCAAAAGACACAAATGCACACGGCCCGCTGAATTGATAACAAATAAAGCAGCCTTGACCTTTTGGAGGAACGCCAAAACTTATTTTGTCCTTTATTCTCTTTTGAAAGTACGGAACCCAAGTCGTGCGGAAACAAGGCGCTGCTTATGTAGAAAAATCAACCAGGTTTCGCGACAGCATGTACATGTTTGGCTTGCTTTAGTTAACCCATTTCTTTCCTTGTCCCGTACTTGCTTGCTCGCTTGCCAGTTTGCTAACGATCAGGTGCCATTTTCACGGCTTTGCTAAGCACAACAATTTGCTTAGCACAAAAAAGTCTGCCTTATTTTTAAAGCAGGTTACCAGCCAAAACTCCGCGTGATGTATATTGCTCGTGATAACCTGAAAATCACATGTAGTTTTGGCTGATAACCTGCTTTTATAAGTGACTTTTTCGTGCTAAGCAAATTTATGTGCTGAGCAGCGCCGTGAAATTGGGCCCAGGACTGATTGCTTGCTTACGTATTTGCTTACTGAAATGCCTGCTTGCTTTTTTGCTTGCTTACTTGTTTGTTTGCTTGCGGGCTGTTGGGGTTGTTTGTTTGTTCGCTTGCTTGTTGGCTTGTTTGTTTGCTTGTTTGCTTGCTTGTTTGCTTGCATGTTTACTAATTACTTGCTTGCTTACTTGCTTGCCTGCTTACTTTTTTGCGTTCCTACTTTAAAACTGCGTGGCATCTTGCTTGCTTTACTGCTAGCTTGCTTGCTTGTGTGACTACGCCACGTTTTTTTTTCATACCATCGTTGAAAATGCACCTTTGTATTCCATTTAACCTTTTTTTTTAATTTTCTTTTTGTATTTTCAAGGGTGTTTTCGTCCCATTGTGGTTTTATGCAAGTGAAAACTTCCACATTCATGACCAAAATTTTGATGTCATTTCAGGCAGAAACCTCCATGTTATCAGCTGTTTAAGCACAAAAACAAAAAAGTCGCCAGAAATTTTGATATTTTTCTGTGTCCAATGAGCAAATTTTTCTCACAGATGTTTTCAGTGAACTAATTTTAGGGTTCACAATTTGAACAGAACATCCCTATAAAACTGCATGAACAGTGTCTTCCTGAAATGACATCACAGCAACAGCGCCCTCACGTGTTTGAAAATCACGGAATTTGTTATGTTTTAAAGAAGCGCACTCTGCGATGACATTAACCAAGAAGGATTCTCAAATAGTTTTCTTACATTTATGTTCCTAAAAATGGATTTCATAATAGACCTTTAATTGCGTGCTTGCTTGGTTGGTTGGTTGCTTGCTTGCCTGTGTTCATGTTTGCTTACATGTTTGCTTGCTTGCCTTCTTACGTATTTGCTTAGGCCTATTTATTTTCTTGCCTTCTTTATTACCTGCCTGCTTAGCTGCTTGCTTACCTAAGGAACTACTTATATGCTGCAATGGTGTATTTCTTTGTTTTTTAATTTTAATCAATAGACCAACAGACCAATATAGACCAATAGTTAAGTTTAAGAAATAATATTCAATCATCTTATTCATATAAAGTTACCACAACTTCGAGGTGAATAGAGGGCGCTCTGTCCTCTCTCTTTTTTCTTTCTTTATCAGATGCAGGACTTTATCAAATTCAGTTAATGAAATAATTATGCACAATCGGGGTTTTAACGGTGAGGGCGCCAGAGCCTTTCCTACTACAAAGTCGTGTGATTTTTCCAAATTGGAAATGGTGGCGCTACACTCGGACTCCATAAAACGAGAAGCTGTCCGAATCCCGCCGCTGCGGGCGCTGTTTTCACTTACCACGAGATAAAATGTCGTTCTGCCAACGCTTTGAAATCGAAAAAGAGCAGATGCTCTCGTTAAAAGCTTCAGACGTTGCAAAAAGAAAAGGCATCGGCAGTAATGTTTTTGATAGGCGTATGGTCTCTGCATGATGGTTAAATGAATACAGTCTTCGAAGGATGCAAAATAGGGGTGTGCATTTATGGGAACTGGTACGGGAACTGGGTAGCCGATTGAAAAAGACACGGGTACCCGTTAACAAAATAACAACCCCAAAATTCAAATTTCGGAAGTGGCTCCACATTTTTGTGTGTGTAAAGGTCCGCACAATAATACTGTTACATCAGTGCGTCAATGCAGGCAAGAATCAAGAGCCTACAGTGAGCTCTAAAGCTTTTTCGGGTGCAAAATGCAACTTTCGCGAGCGTCCCAAACGTGGCTTGTTTTCTTTGTAGCCTGGTTTTGATTTTGAAAATTCCCCCAAAATAACATCAACAACCTTTTAATTTTTTTTATAGTCTGTGAAGTTACTAAGTTATTTGTAAAATTATTGGGACGGGCACCCGATCCCATCTGAAACCAGTTCCTGACATCAACGGTCGAGTACTCGGGTAACCGGTTCTGATGCACAGCCCTATGAATGCAACACAGACGAAAAGGGAGAAGTTGGCCAAAATTTTGGTGTGAAATATCAACTTAGCAAGTGGATAAAAGTGTAACCGTTTGGTTTTGTGCAAGTCATTGACGGATATTTGTAATTTATTTACTTCGTGATTTTTTATTGATGGGCGTGAAGTGACGAGATCCAATCTCTGCCGTATTTTCACCACTATTGACTTCGACAACTTATAAAATATAACACAAAGCCGTGACCTTCGTACGGTTTATGGTTACATGAAATATTAATTGTTACCCACACGTGTTCAATAACGGGAAAGGGTCGGATGTACTTTTTTCGGCTCCCCGCAGGGCGCGCATGCGTTGAACAACATGCATTGTGGGTAATGACCCGGATTTTGTATACGAAATTTCCGACACTGAAAATGAAGAATGTCTCTCACGTTTGTAAAATCATTCATTGTGGCTTTTTTTTGTATTGCTAATCCTTTCGTATGTCGGTAAAAACTGTATGCATTGTACTGAATGTAGAAAATGGTGAAAATTTAGTCTTAGAAGTCTTTTTTTTTTTCAAGCTTATGAACGGCATCATGAGGATTTTGTAAAGTTTTGGGGGAAAAGGGTTGCTTTTTTGGGAGGGTTGGAAACCGGTGTACCCTTTTTAGTGACTTACAATTGACCATTAATGTTGCGGCCATCTTGATTTTTTCCCATTCAAATCAACGTAACCAAAGCGAGGCTGGAAGTAAAAATAGTCTGGTTCCTTTTTTGTACAAAAAACATCATTCATTACTGTTGTTAGATAAAGGGAACATGACTGAAATGGTGGCAGCGTGATAAAGGTCTATATGTAGATGGTTACTTCAAATAATGCTTCCTACTCTTCACGTTGCTACTTTTTTCTTTTCTTTTTTCATTGACTTATGCGTCCAAGACCTTGCCCTAAGCAAACCTCAAGGCACGGACATGTGCCGCCCCGGAACCACCGTCCATTTTCAGTTTTGTTTTGTGTTGTCATATTTTTTATTTTTTTGGATCGGAATTCGCGCCTTTACAAATTGTGTTTCGTCATAATCATCCCTTCGCACGCAACTTTCAAAACCCATGGAATTAAAATTGCGGGGATGGGATCAACAAGTCAAAAAAGGAGAGGATTTTGTGGGTTTTTTCCCCCTCATTTTGTTTCCTGTAAAAAGGTCAGGTACGCTAGTTCTCTTACAAAACTTGTTTTCCCTAAAAACCCGCAGTCCATTCATCATCCATTGCCAAG